TTTGTTCACAATAGCAAAGAGCTGGAAACAACCCAAGTGCCCATCAACAAATGAATGGATAGAGAAGCTGTGGTATATTCACACACTGGAATACTATGCAGCATTGAAAAACAAGGAACTCATGAAATATTATACAAAATGGATGACCCTGGAGGACATTATGCTGAGTGAAATATCTCAGTCACAAAAGGACAAGTACTGCATAGTGCCAGTGTTGTAAAGCAGGACTGACATTGGGGTTGAGGGAAGACAGAGAAGGAGGGGAAGAATGATGTGTACTGGATTTAAACAGATAAGGGAGAGAACAATTTTAAAGGGATATGTGATTACGTATTATTGTCAATACAAGAGTCCAGAATGAAGGCTGCACAGTGGAGTGGATTTGAGGGGAGGGATTGCATAACAATGAAAGAGTTTTACTTTTCAGGGAGAAGAGTGAATTGCGCGGGAGAGGGGGGCAGGGAGAAAAGTGCAACAATGAATGAATGGAAACCCTGTTTCTGTAAATTTTCATTAAAACTGTTGTTGTTGTTATGTGCTGTTGAGTCATAGCGACCCTATGTACAATAGCCCTAAACCCTGCTGTATCTTGTGCCAGTCGTACTGCCCCTGACACACCCATCCTGATTACCCAAGTCACTGATTCAGTTCACCTCATAGAGGGCCTTCCCCTCCTACGCCGTCCCTCTACCCTCCCAAGCATGATGTCCCTCTCCAAGGACTAATTAAAAAAAAAAGCATAAGAGGAGATTTCCCATTTTCTTCCCGCCAAGCATTTTGTGGATTTGAACTGCATGCTTTTGAATTGTCAGTGTAACTCTTTACCACTAAGCCACCAGAGCTCGCTCCTGTGCAGTTTACAGTCTCTGAAACCCTGCTGCAGTCAGCTCTGAGTCATTTCTGGCTCAGCAGCACATAGTAACAATATTTAATTAATTTATAAAAATACTCATTTTCTCTTAAAGACTGATTACATTTTGGAGGGTAATCACTATAGAAAATGTCTTCGGTTTCTTCTCTTTTTATTATGTTATTTTTTTAAAAAGATACTACAATAAACTAATCAACTAGCTATCCACTAATTTTAAGTTGCAATATTATTTAATGCCCTTGTTCACAATTTTTATCACACAAAATATAAATATTGCAGGTATAGTAATGGTATGTGTGGTTCTACGCTACATGAAGTATCGCTGGACAAAAGAGGAAGAGGAAACAAGACAAATGTATGATATGGTGGTAAAGATTATAGGTATGATATTTATAAAAATCTAATTTCTAAATAGTGATTAAATGACAAGTTAAACATAGCAAGTGATCGCTTCATTTGTTTGATCTCTTTGCAGATGTTTTACGGAGTCATAATGAAGCGTGCCAAGAAAATAAAGATTTACAACCTTATATGCCTATTCCACATGTGCGAGATTCCTTAATACAGCCTCATGACAGGTGTGTTAAAAGCTCGGTGTGTTAATGTAAATAAAAATGTAGCTCCTTTGTATTCTTGGAAGTTCTATAGAAAGGAGTGACCCTTATCAGCTAGCACTGTACTGTACAGGCTTCTTTAGGTATTTCCAACAGTCTTTTCTAAACTCTTATTGCTCTTCTGATTTTACTTAGAACTCTCTTATTACTCTACTGACAGCTGAATTTTAAATAAATTTTATTCCTAGATTGTGAATATGATGCCAGTTGAGGCCAATTCTTTTGCCTATCTTTCTTTTGTTGGTCTGTTTTCATTCTGTTCAATTCAAAGTCACTACAAGTAGGAGCCAACTCAACAGCACATAGCAATAGCATTCTTAGGCCTTCTTGATTGTTGTCAATCTGTACCTTATCTCTTTAATTTCATTGCAGAGGCATACATTGAATTCAGTGATGCTTTACTAATATGTTTCAAAATATTTCTATGTTTAAAAGCTTTTAATATAAATTAGCTCATTTTTCAGAGCTGGCTATGGAAATTTAGTCAATCTAATGTGCCACTCAGTGATTTAAATCTTATTTTGAAAATCTCCAGAGTTAAGAGTTAAGAACAACCGCTATCTTCAATTGATCATATATGAAAAAGAAGACAACCAAAATAATAGAGAATTTGTCATTTTGCTCATATATTAGGAAAAAAATGAAGAAAGTATGGGATAGAGCTGTTGATTTCCTTGCTGCTAATGAATCTAGAGTTCGCACAGAGACACGAAGAATAGGTGGTGCTGATTTTTTGGTCTGGAGATGGATCCAGCCTTCTGCATCTTGTGACAAAATATTAGTAATACCTTCTAAAGTATGGCAAGGTCAAGGTATGTATCTTTTAAAATATATATGTATGGTGAATATTTTTTACTTTTAAAAATAGAAAGTGATGCTTGTTTTATGTAAGAGTACAATTTAAAGTTGTACTCCTTTCCAAATCTCTTAGAGGGAATTGTTAATTAGCTTGTAAGCATTACCTAAACTTTTTCACCTTAATTCAAACATAAGTTGTCTCTCTTTCCTTTATTTTCCTGCTTTTTTGTCACAGACTTTCATTGGCATATTCATGTGCTACATAACTTTTGTGGGTCTTGCCATATATTTTTAATGCCAATCTAGTTACACAATATGTATACATAAGTACGTGCATGTTTTTGGTGATTGATTACTTTAGCAAAAATAGTTCACTTTACACATACTTACATGTATCTTAGTTATCTTGTTAAAAAAATGACTCTTTAAAATCCTTGTAGGTCAACTCATACTTGAGTTTTTTTTATTATTTTAAATGATTGTAATATTCCATGTGACAAGAAGCTGCGCTGCAATCCCAACTTGTCAAGGCCACTAGCTGCTTCACTGGAGCACAATCTCCTCCCGTGTGATTATCGCCTCTGAAAACCAGCCTGAGGGTCAGCTTTTGATCAGTTCCAACTGTATGGTACACCACACCACAATAAAAAGAAGTCTTCGTCTAATCAATCATTCGCTGGTTGATAAACATTCAGGCTATTTTTTTAAAAAAACCTCTTAAGTAATAAACTCTTTACATAGTCATAAATATTTTACCCCTTTTTTTGCAGACTGTTGGAAGAGTCCCCAAAAGAGCTATATAGTCATAAATACTTATACTTTAATTTCTATAGGATTGAGTCCCAAGGCTTAAGATTACTAGGTTTAGGGAGCTAAATAGCTTTTCATTTTATTGGTATCAGATTGTTTTCCAAATGCTAGAGAAATACCTACTTCCATGTGCTAGAAAAATTTTATTTCCACCAGCTATGTCATTATGTACTCAAACTCTACTAGTGATCGCTGTTTACCCACTTGAATAATTCATATTCTAATAGTTGGTTGTGGAGCTCTGGTGGCCTAGTGGCAAGAAGCTGTGTTGCAGTCCTGAAGGCAAGTGGTTCCAGGTCATCATCTGCTCTGTGGAAGGGGCATGGGCAGTCTCTTCCTGTGTAATTAACTTCCCGGAAAAACCTGCCCGACAGTCAGCTATGGGTTGGTTCTGACTATATAACAACAGTAATTGGTTGTGAAGCTCTGTTGGCCTAGTGGTGAGAAACCATGTTGCAATCCAGGGTCTCCCTCATCTACCCTCCCTCCATTCTTCCAAGCATGATTTCCTTCTCCAAGGACTAGTCCCTCCTGTGAACTTTGAGAAATGGTAATTATTGAAAGGCTTTAGGTCTTCTGTTCATAGGGTCTCTATGAGTTGTGCTCGACTCGACAGCAATCCATGGCAACAAGGCTGGAGTAGTAGTTGGCGTTTTGAATTATGGTCTTGGTGAAGAATATGAAATATGCTATGGACTACCAGAAGATTTCTCTGACAATCTCTACCTTCAGCCTGAATCCATCTGACATGAGCATTGACACATTAGTGTCAGAGCCTCTTCTAAGTTTTGCTTGAACTTCAGACAGTACCCTATCTATGTACTGTTCTAGCCATTTTTTGAATGATCTTCAGCATTACTTGCTTACATGTAATATTAATGATAGTGTTCAGTGGTTTCTACATTCTTTTGGGTCACCTTTCTTGGGAATGGGAACAAATATTTACTTCTTCCAATCCATTGACCAGATAGCTATTCTCCAGATTTCTTTGCATAGTCTGGTGAGCAAATCCAGGGCTGCATTAGTTAAATGAAACAAATCAGTTGGTACCTAATAAATTCCTGGGGCCTTATTTTTTCCCAATGCCTTCAATGCAGCTTCAACTTCCTCTTTCATTACCATTGGCACCTGCTCATATGGAACTTCTGAAATTTTTCAGCGTCAGTCATTTCTTTTTGGTACAGTGATTCTGTGTATTCCCTCCATCTTTTTCTTTATATAACATTTTTATTTTATACTGGTTTACTTACAAAGTTACTATACATTATTTTCCACACCAGATTTTTCCCATTTCCTTAACCATCCCTCCCTCCACCCATCAAATTGTATGACCCTATGTTACCACCCGCAACACTCATCCTTACCCTTCTGCTTCCGTTCTCCACTCATTAGATTGTCATACACATCTTAGTAGTTATCTGTTTCTAGAATAATGGTCTTATACTTTTCCTAATGGGATCAAATTAGTTCTCTTAGCATAATGCTTTCCAGTCGCTCTCATATTAGGTTTACAAAATCATTGTTCTTGCATGCTGCATTGTATTCCATTGTGTGAATGTCCCATAATTTCTCAATCTCTTCAATTGTGGTTGGATATTTGGGCTGTTTCCATGTTACTGTGATGGTGACTAACACTGCCATGAACACTGGTGTACAAATCTCCATTTGGGCCTCAGGTCTCATTTTCTTGGGGTATATTCCAAGCAGTGGAATAGCTGGGTCATAGGGAATTTCTGTGTTCAGCTTTTTGAGGAAATCTCACCCACAGTGTATAAGTGTATTTCTCCACATCCTCTCCAACATTTCCCCCATCTTCTTTTGATACTTTCTGGGTCATTCAATATATGGCCCATAGCATCTTTCAGTATTTCCCATCAAGGTTTGATTCCGCCCACCACCACCCCGCCCCCAGTTCTCTCAGTGTGAGAAATGCAGAGCAAGCACTTTTCTTTCTGTTCTCCAATTCCAGATCTCTGCACTTTCCATTACAATACTTTGCTTTGTGTTCTCGAGCTGTCCTTTGAAACCTTATGTTTATTCCGAATATATATTTATGCTTTATTGACCATGCAGAGGCTTTTTACTATGTGGATCATAACAAGTTATGACTAACATTGAGAAAAATGGAAATCCCAGAGCACTTGATTGTGTTCTTGCAAAACACATGACTGGTCCAGGAGGTTGTTGTGCTAACGAAGCAAGGGAACACTACATGGTTTAAAATTAAGAAGGGAGTGTGTCAGGGTTGTATTCTTTCTCCTTACCTATTCAATCTGTATGCTGGGAAAATTATAGGAGAAGTTGGTCTCTAGGAAGAAGAACTTGGCATCAGAATCAGAGGAAGACTCATCAATAACCTGCACTATACAGATGACAACCTTGGTTGCTGAAAGTGAGGAAGACTTGAAGCACTTGTTGTAGAAGATCAAAGAATACAGTCTTCAATATGGATTGCATCTCAGTGTCAAGAAAACAAAGATTCTTACCACTGGACTGATCGGCAATATCATGATAAATGGAAAAAAGATTGAAACGGTCAAGAACTTCATCATACTTTGATCCACAATTAAAACCCTTGGTACTAGCAGTCAGGAAATCAAGAGATGTCTTGCACTGGGAAAATCTGCAGTTAGGGACTTCTCCAAATTATTGAGGAGTAATAATGTCAGTTTGAGGACTAACATTGAGAAGAATGGGACTCCCAGAGCACTTGATTGTATTCCTGTAAAATGTACAACTTGTCCAGGAGGCTATTTTGCGAATGGAGCATGTATATGATTCAGGCCATGTTCTTTCTGATCACTTGCAATGCATCTGAGAGCTGCACAGTGAATAAGGATGGCAGAAGAAGAAGAATTGATGCCTTTGAGTTGTGGTATTGGAGAAGAGCACTGTACATCCCATGGACTGCCACTCTCACTTTCTCACACTCTCGCACGCTCTCAACACTGCAGTCATCCACTTCTCAAATAGCAGGCTTCTGAACTTTCAGTGAACAGTAGAGGAACACAGATAGCTGTAATATTAGAGATAGAGGCCAGATTGGAAATCAGTTAAAATCAGGAGAAGCGGCTGCAAATATCCTTTAATAATTGTAACATGAAATGTACAGAGTATGAATGTAGGAAGACTATAAGTCATTAAAAATAAAATGGAACCCACTAACATCAGCATTCTAGGCATTACTGAGATGAAATAGATTGGCATTGGCCACTTTGAATCACATGATAAACTATGCCTGGAATGAAAAACAGGAAGAATGGTTTTGCATTCATAGTTAAAATGACAATTTCAAGGCTTATCTTGAAGTAAGATGTTGTGAATGATAGGATACTATCTATGCATATGTTAGGAAGACCTGCTAATATGACTTTAATTATATGCACCAACAACTAAAGCAAAAGAGAAGGAAATTGAAGATTTTTTTTTTACCATATTTTGCATTCTGAAATTGATTAAACATGCAATTAAGATAATAATTGGTGACTGGAATTTAAAAGTTGGAAACAATGAAGGACATTTGGAAAGTTACTGTCTTGGTAACAGAAATGAGGCCAGAAATAGAATGATTGAATTTTATACAGATGACTTTACACATAGACCTCACCTGGTGGACTGAATTGGAATCAGATTCTACATCTGTAGAAGGAATTGTTGGAAAAGCTAAATTACAACTGTCAAACATAGGCCAGGTGCAGAATGTGGAACAAGCCATCAATTACTTATGTGTAAGCTCAAATTGAGGCTGAAGAAAATGAAAACAAGTCCATAAGAACCAAAATATGATCTTGAGTGCCCCTACTGACTTTAAAATCAACTTACAAATAAGTTTGACACATTGAACTCAAGTGGTCAAAGACCAGATGAGTTGTGAGATAATAATGAGAATATTGTCTTTGAAGGGAACATAAAGTCATTACAAACACAGAGGAGAAACAAAAACCAAAATGGATGTCAGAAGAGACTAAAAATTGCACAATAGCTTCAAGAAGCTAAAAGAAAGGGAAGAGATGCTGACGTAAAGAGCGGAACTGAAGATTTCAAAGGGCATCTCATGAAGACAAAGCAAAGTATTAGAACATGGAGAGAGCTGAAATTGGAGGGGAGGAAAAGGAAGAATTTACTTGGCATTTCTCAAGCTGATAGAACTGAAAAATTCAAGCCCCAAATTGCAATATTGACAGATGCTATGGGCACAATCTTGAATGACCCAGGAAACATTAAAAGAAGATGGAAAGAATAAACAGAGTCACTTTTTGTACCAAAAAGAATTGGCCAACAGAGAAATATTTCAAGAGGTACCGTATCCTCAAGAGCCAATGGTAATGAAGGACGAAGTTGAAGCTGCACTAAAGACAATGGCAATAAATAAGACCCCAGGAATCCATACCTCTCTCTATACTGGTAATCAATAAAATTTCAGTACTCCACCAGGACTCTGTAATGATGATTAATTTTCTGCATGTCTTTGTTAACCTCTTAGTAGTAATTTATGGACTTCTGAACTTAGGAAATAATTGAGAATGAGATACCTATTACCCAATTAACACATAGAAAAGGCTTAATAGTTAATTTTAGGCTAAAGGCAGAAAAATTTCAGAAGTACAACCTGAAAGCTGTTTTCTTGAGGTACAGATTGTATATTTGTATGATTGTGATGATTAAAAAAAAAATAGACTTGTACACTATCAAGTCAGAACCAACTGAAAGCTGATTCTCCAGATGGTTTTCAGAGGTAGTCTAACTCTCAAGAGGCGATTAATTACCCATCTTTATTCAGAGCAGCTGGTGGATTGCAACATAACATGTCTTTGTGCTGACAGTACAGCTATTTACCACTAGGCCGCTAGAGTTCCCTAAATAAACTATTATTGTTGTTATGTAACAGAATCAATGGATAGCTGACACTCCAGGGGGTTTTTCAGAGGCAGTTAACTTCATGGGAGGACATGGTCCAGCTTTCTCCCTTCAAGCATCTGACAGATTCAAACTGCAATTCCTTATCAGTAGGCTACCAGAAGTCCATTTAAAGAGTATTGAGCATTTAAGTAGTTGTTTGATGTTATTAGTAGGTGCCGTCCCATTGATTATAGCTATGACTCATAGTAACTCTGTGAACAGCAGATCTGAACCCCATCCTATCCTGTGCCATCTTCACATTTCCTAATACCCTAGAGCCCATTGCAGCAGTCACCATGTCAGTCCACCTGGTTGAGAGTCTTCTTCTCCTTTGTCAACCCTCCACCCTTCAAAGCATCGTGTCTCCCCTCCAAGCAACATGTCTAAAGTATGTGAGGTGAAGCCTCATCATCGTTGCCTCCAAAGCGTACTCTGGCTGCACTCTTCAAGGTAGAGTACTTTTGGCAATCTATGAGATGTTCTAACACCACAACTGACAGGCATCAATTCTTCTGTCATCATTATTTATTGTACAGCTCTCAGATGCATAGCAAGTGATCAGAAAAACTGTGGCCTGAATCAAGACGCACCTTAGTTGTACAGGAAGCTGATAAAGAAAAGCTACAATTTAATGATGATTGTACTTCTGTTGTCTTGGTTTTACATATATTTATGTCATTAGTAAAGGTGTGTGTTAGGATTGTATTCTTTCACTATACCTATTCATCTGTATGCTAAGCCAGTTATTTGACAAAATGGACTCTATGAAGAAGAATGTGATGTCAGGACTGGAAGAGGCTCATCAGTAACCTTAAGTATGCAATTGACACAGTTTTGCTTGCTGAAAGTGAAAAGGATCTGAAACACTTGTACAGAAGATCCAACACTATAGCTTTCAGGATAGATTTCATCTCAACATCAAAAAAACCAAAAATTCACACCATTGGACTGATAGGCAACATCATGATAGATGGAGAAAAGATTGAAACTGTCAACAGCTTCATGTTACTTGGAGAGTGAGGAAGATCCTCAACCAGGTGAATTCACACAGAGTAACTACAATTATGGCCTCAAGTGTGCCAGAGATAGTGAGGTTGGCACAGGACAGGTCAGGGTTCAGATCTGTTATTCATAGGATCGCTATGAGTCATACCTGACATCTCGTAACAGCAGCAACAGCCTAGCATTAATGTTTCCAAAACATAAACCAAATTACTGTTTTCAAATCAATTCTAGTTCATGGTAGTGACCCTCTATTGGGTTTCTGAGTGTAAATCATCATGGTAAGAGATTGCTTCTTATCTTTCCCATGGAGCAGGAATGGCTGGTGGATTCAAACTGCAGCTCATCATGGAACACAATACTCATGCAAATAAGATTTTACTAAGGACAATTTTTAAATGACTGTAGCAATATATTATCTGCAACTTCCAGAAATTAAAGTTGGATTCACAAGAGGCCATGGAACACGGTTATCATTGCCGACATCAAGTGACTCTTGGCTAAAGGCAAAGAATATTAGAAAGATGTTTGCTTGTGTTTCACTGACTAGGCAAAAGCTGGACTATGTGTTTCACTGACTGTGCAAACAAGTAAGGGGGACTGAAGAATTGCTGCCTTTTAATCAATCACATTGTTAGAGAAGAATTATTTGTATTACCAGGGACTGCCAGGAAAATCCCCCAATCTATCTATGGAAGAAGTACAGCCAAAATGTTTCTTAGAAGGCACTATAGGGAGAAGTGCAACAATGAATGAATGGAAATCCAAAATCTATGTAAATGCTCATTAAAATTATTAAAAAAAAGGGGGGGGACTATAGGGAGGTAAGACTTTGTTTTACTAACTTTGGACATATCATCAATGGGGACATATCAGGAGGGACAGATGGAGTGACATGGTGGCTACAATAATAGGCTCAATCAGAGCAGTGATTTTGAGGATACCTCAGTACTGGGCAATATTTTCATCCTCATACGAGATCACTAAAAGCACTGTCTTGCCAGCACCTAACAACAGTAATACAGAAAAAAATGTAGTATCGGTGTTTTGTATTTGTACCATTTTAGGTGAACTTGTATATTTATTTAATGTTTATGTTTTATTTAAAGTAACTAAATCACCTTGACCTAGCCTATTTAAAAGATTAATATATATATATATATAGAGAGAGAGAGAGTGAGTGTTTTTCTTTCAACATATCTAAACACAAGTGATTCAGTACTATATATTGGGAGAGGGAGTTTGTTTGGCCATATATGAAAAAATAATTTAACCTATTAATAAGAAACTTAGTATTTCTGCCCTTGTAGTAATTTGAAATTACATTGTTGTAGGATTGATACTTAGTCTTCTAAATTTACTCACACTAGAATTGACTTCCTTTATTCGTATTTCCCCACATGTAATGGTTAATTGACTTTTAAAATTTTTTTTTTTAATCTTTTGCGTGTACTGTCAAATCGGATCTGACTGGTACAGGAGGTGATTGTCCCTCCTTCTCCAGCAGAGCATCTGGTGGATTCGAACCACATACCTCTGGGATTGCAGTACAGCTTCTTGCCACTAGGCCACCAGAGCTCCCTGACTTTTTAAAATTTTTAATGTTTAATTTCTAAACCATAGTTAAATATCAGTTAGATGACTACTTAACTCTAAAATCTCTTAAAAACTTAAACTGTACCTTTTGGGGAACCAGTGAATTTATGCCTCTTACAGTATTGTTTGGAATAAACAGTAGTATTAATTTGAAGGATCTAAAGTAGTTCTTGAGGTATTTGAAATGTATCATTCAGTAGTTATTGTAGTTATTCTGTGTGTACATAGTCTCATAATTAATTAAGTTTGAGAACCACAGAGTACATCTTAAAAGTCAGTTTGGCCATTTGCCCTACCTTCAGACCAAAGAGTTTCTCCCAAATCTTATTTTGTGAATCTTCACATCTAAGCGAGGCTAAAATGGTAGAAAAACTACTTCTCAACTTCACTTATTTCTGGCTTAGGCTGTTAGTGGAATTTCTTGGACATGAGAATGCCTGCAATTTAAGTCATCCAAGAACAAAACAGTATGAGAATTCTAGATGGCACTAGAGGTTCACTTTACTATCTTGATGTGAAAGCTTGGCAGAGATTGTACCTAGTGACCATACTTCAGTAATCTGTTTTCCAGTATCAATCACATTAGCTCTTAGTTATTTGACTATATCTTCTAGAGCTATGTACAAGCTATCATTTCTGCTTAAAATATTCGTTATACCTCTCTTTGCCTTATTTAGTTTTTCAGATCTCGGCATAAGTTTTCTGAGGAGTCTTATGTGACACTTCTAGAAAAGATTAAATTACCTTTGAAATTTTTCTTCATTCTTCTCTTTGGATGCACTGCACTTCTAATCACTTTTTACTTGGGTGACACCATTGTCATCTGTCTCCACTAAACTGTAAATTCTTTGAGAGCTACTATGTTTTTCTCACATACTTTACTTAACTAAATGACTGTATTTCAACATAATGGTAAATTGTAAAATTATTATTTTTTTCTTTTTTAGCATTTCATTTAGATAGAAGAAATTCCCCACCAAATAGTTTGACACCATGTCTAAAGATTCGAAATATGTTTGATCCAGTTATGTAAGTATTGTTTATGATTGAGTACATGTAATTTTTATTTAGATTATTTGATTGAAAAAATGTTTAATATTGTAACGTAATATCTGTAATTAAAGAATGTTTCCCCTCGAAGTCTCTTAACACAACATTTTTTTTTTCTTTTTGGTTAAATTCTGAGCATGTTTGACAGACACATGATTAATGATTTTTTAAACTTAAAATCTTTGTGCTATGAATATTCATCACAGTTAAATGCTTGAGACAAATGAACATATTTCAGAAATTTCCTATCTATATAGTTGCAGCAACACGTTAGTACTTTAACTGTTACAATATTTTACATTATTGTACATTATTGTACAAATATACAAAAAAATATTGTACAATATTTTACATAAGCTGTGATAATCTTCAGAATAATCTTAGAGACCTATGCTTATCTGACTAATAATATGAAGGTCAACTTCTGTTTGTTTTAATCCTGACCATAAAAATTGTGTTATATAAAGAATATCCCTAAGTCTCATCTGGTAATTCATTGACTTTTGTAAAAAATCATTAATAGAATACAATTCTAAGTTAAGTGACAGTCAAATTTTAAATACCAGGAAGCATTATGAATGCACATGTCCATATGTATGCATTTTACACGCATTCACATACTATCCAGTTTGCAAATTTAGAAAGAATCGGCATTGTGGTGATTCCTCTACTGCAAATCTTTATCTCATGTCTTAAGGGATTAGAAAACTAATGTCAGTCTAGTATTAGATAAAGATATATGGTTTAAAGTAAAGCCATTATTCCCCTTGTTTGCCATCTATTTGTAGCAATTAAGGCAAGTATTTCCTACAGTATTTGGAAATTTACAGCTTTCCTAATTGTAAGGTGACTGCAGATAATTCTCTTTCATTATTCTTCCATTGTTTTGGAACCAAGACTCAGAATACTTTTTTTAGAATTTTTCTTAAGTTTAAGGATTTGAAAATATCAATAAAAATAAATAATTAACTTTTATGCATTCACTATAACTCATTAAACTGCAGGTACACAGAATTCTAAGTGTAAAATAAATTAGATGATTATTTAACACTAACAGCTCTCTACCATGGTGATGCACATCTGCCATGGTGAGCTAATTCTTCATTACCTTAGTGATGTGTCACTCTTAGAACACTTGAAAATGAGGGGAAAATTAGTATTAGTTTTGTAAAATTCATCTACTGCTAATCAACAAGCACATATCACTACTAATTTTAATGATGTACAATGTTTTTAACTGTCCTAATTGTCTCATAGGAATTAATGTATGAAACCATGAGTAGGGATATGGCTGATGATTTTCCTTTTATTACTTTTTAGGGAAATAGGGGATCATTGGCATTTGGCAATTCAAGAAGCAATTTTAGAGAAATGCAGCGATAATGATGGCATTGTTCATATTGCAGTAGATAAAAATTCACGAGAGGTAATGTAACATTTCTTTTTGAATTCTGCTTTTTATTTTTATTGTTGTTAAACTAAGACTATTTCTTTTCCTTTTTATTTTTTTCACAGGGGTGTGTATATGTTAAGTGTCTGTCTCCAGAGTATGCTGGAAAAGCTTTTAAGGCATTACATGGCTCTTGGTTTGATGGTAAGAAATTTTAATTTTACAAACATTTGAAAAGACAATCTATCACTTGAGTATTAAAAACCATAGCAGATTTTAAATTAAAGAATCTTAGAGTGAGTGATTTTAGGCTGTGTGTGTACTTTGGGTTGATGTATATTTTACCACAGTTTGTATTTTACATATTCTAAGCATGTTTTTACAGATCTAAAATATCATTTTTATCTTACAACAGGGAAATTGGTTACAGTAAAATATTTACGGCTAGATAGATATCATCATCGCTTTCCCCAAGCTCTTACTTGCAACACTCCCTTGAAGCCATCAAATAAACATATGAACTCTATGTCTCATCTTCGTCTTCGGACTGGCCTAGTCAATTCTCAAGGAGGTTCCTGAAAAGATTTCTACTACTCCTAGGACTGTTCTTTACAATAGGAAAATTCCTCTTTGGCTTCCTGTCTTCCTTTTAAAATGCTTTTTGTATGTAATATTTTTATTGATGAATATGGCTCTGTTTGAATGTTTCAGAAATCTTAAGGTTCTAAAGGGACTTAGCAGTGAGGCAGCAATGCTGAATAGATAGAATTATTGTTTCATTCCGTTTTTGGAGCTCAGTTCAGCCAGTGCATTTAAAGTTTTGCATGAGGAACATTGACTTCATTAAAACATATTCAGATTTGGTGGTTGTATTTTTGCACCAAGAAGTGTTTAGATTACCACACAAAAGCATGGTGAAGAGGCTTCTTCTATTTCTGTAATTTCCTGTGAATTTTTGTATATAGTCACCGGCAGAATTCCTTACAGGCTTATGTGATAAAACTTAATTTCCCAATTTAACCTTAGGTTTCTATTGCTTGTAAGAGATTTATTTGCTGCAGCTGGAACATGAGAAAATTAATTTGAGTTTTGTGGGTGCATATACAGATAAGGGGATGTACATGTACTTAAACTGGCTTTTGTATATATGTATAAATTCCTGGTGGTGGCGAAAGTAGTTTTGTTTTGTGAGATGTCTGCATTAAAGCAGTAAAATAAGCTTATTTTATTCATTATCTAATATGTATATATATGTATGTGTGCATGTGGGTGTATACATACATGTACCATATATATGTATATGTATAGTATATTGAACATATACATACATATGTACATGCACATATGCACACATATGGCTATACTATAATATAGATTAAACAGCCAAACACCTGGAAGTATTAGATACAAGTTTAAAATATCTTTTATAGATTTTATATGCAAATGTTTGAGTATGATTTTATGGGAAAGTTCTGATACAGGTTGTAATGGATTCAAATTTATGTGAGCAATAAAAAAGCAATTGGCAGATATTGGAAAAATATTTTGTGAAAAGCTGTATTTATTATAAATACTAGGGTTGTGACATAGTACCACTGAGATTAAATCATTTTCCCAATCTATTTATAATTTAATGAAATGTTAGTACCCTGTTATATGTCAAGTTTAAAGCAGGGCACATTGGTGCAGCAACATACGTGTTTGACAAGTTATATTTGCAATTTTAGGTCATGAAAATTTGCAATAGTAAATGCACGAGTGACCTTTGGCTTTGTGCCTCAGTATTTAATTTGTTTCCGTAAAGTTACTTTTATTACTGTTTATGATTTCAGATTAAAAGAGTTGCTGAGCAAAGTTTACTTGTAAACCTAACAATTGTTTTGTTTTGTTTTTGTTTTCTAATAACTTGTTGATATAACATTGTCAGTCCAAATGAATATGTGAAACAGCTGGAATTGTACAATTTCTGATTTGTTTAAAGCTCAATTTTCCTTTTTGTTTTATTCTAAATGTGTTGGGTTTGCAGCATGAACTTGCACAGATAATTGCACGTTTTCTGGTAAAGTAAACATGATGCACACTATTCTGTAACAGAAAACCCTATTGTGCCTTACCTATGTGCTTTTGTGGGCACCATGTTTATGAAGTATAAAAAATGATTTGTTATCTGAAGAGAATAAATTTTAAATTCTCAGTTTATGTCTCAGATGCTAAAGTGTGAAAATATAAATATATATAATATATAAAGTAGCCAATCTTTCTGTATTTTATGTGCATCATAGTGATTTATCTGAGCTTGGTGACCCCATCTTATGATCTTTTGCAAGAGTGAATGTATAAAAAGGTGTGGCATTTTAAAAGGTCGCCATTTGATGCAGATGCATCTCTTTTTCTTCTAAAATATATTTGGTGTAAACATTGTACATTTATTATTGTAATATATACCTATTATGCAACTTATTTTACCTGAAACTGTTAAACCGACCAAGATCCCTCCTGCAAGACAGATGGGAATGTGTATAATAATTAGATATTCAAAAGGTTCTGAAGTTTGATGTGTAATCTGTTACTTGTCCTGTTTTAAAGAAAAAGAAAAAATTATAATTAAAAATTTATTAGGTTTTTTAAAAAATGTGTCTTGACTCTTAAAAACATTATCTAATTTTTTTTAAAGTGGTCAAGGAGATGCTTTTATTTTAAATCTGTGTAGAGGATCTCTTTGTGCCCACAAAAATGGATAAGGACCCTGAAGCTAATTTGAATAATCTGTTCTACATCTTTTTTTACTTTTCTTCATAGGAATATCTTTTTCCAAACTCAGTGTTATTCAAATTGGAGCAGGAATCAACTGTATTACTAATACCATTTAATTATGCTGGACCATTTTCATAGTAATATTTCCTCAAAGAAGGAAGCCATTCTGTTACATTCTGCCTCTAACTTTTTACCTCACTATGAACCAGTAACAAACAATTCATGAGTTTGTTACTTAGAGTTGGTTTAAATCTCTTGATAGTTTGAGTCAAAACACTTGCTAAGTCACACACACTCACTCATTGCCATTGAGTAGGAACCAACTCAGAGTGACCTTCCATTGAATTAATTAGGCCATGAATAGCTTTGAATAGCCCATCTTTCTTCCTTAGAGCAGTTGGTCAGTTTGTGCCACCAGACAGGTGCGATCTTTGGGTAAGTAGCACAACTCCTTATGGACTATGCCACCAGAGCTCCTTTGCTTTGTTAGTTGATAGCTTATGTAGATTGTTAACACGTCTTAATATTTGTTAGCATTAAGAAGACAAAGATTCTTACCATTGGGCCAATTGGCAGCATGATTATGGATGAAGAAAAGACTGAGGTTGTTAGCAATTTCTGTTAACAGTTTTAGCTTGTTCAGCCCCACAGTCAACACTCTTGGCACCAGCAGTCAGGAAATCAAAAGACGATTTGCACTGGGTAATTCTGCTGTCGGGGATAACTCCAAAATGTTAAAGAGCAATGATAATAGTTTAGAAATTAAGGTGCCTGATCCAGGCCATGGTCTTTGTAATAACTTGCTGGACAATTGAACATACCATAGACTGCCAGGAGAACAAATAAATCTGTCTTGGAGAGAGGGAAACCCAAGTTCTCCTTGGAGGTTAGGATTTTGAAGCTCCATCTTACATACTTTGCGCGCTTGGCCAAGAGAGACCAGTACTTGGAAATTATGCTTGGAAGGGTGGAGAGACAGTGCAGGAGAGGAAGGCCCCCAGTGAGATGGATTTACATGGTAACTAGGGCAACAGATTTAGGTGTGTCAGAGTCAGTGAGACTAGCTCAGGATAAGGCCGGGTTCAGAGCTATTGTAAATAAGGCCACTTTGAGTCACAGGCAACTCGATGGCACATACCAACAACAAATGTCAGCCACTGTTACTTGTTATGATGCTGTCAGCCTAAAGCGATTAGTCTGACGCAGAAATATCGAGCGAACAAATTACAAAGGTCATATAACATACACACTAAGACAAGAATATACGTCAGAATAGTGTGGAGTACAGGGAGCCTCTGGCAGCCTAGTGGTAAGGAGTTGCACTACCATCACGAAGACATGGTCTTCAAATCCACCAGGACATACCACCACCATTGTGGAGTACAGGGAAGTACCTTATCATGTTAGTAGAAGACACCAGGACAGATTTTGTAAGAGGTATTTTTTAAATTTTTATTCAGTTTGACATTTATTAACCACAAAGAGCCCTGGGGGTGCAGTCTGCTGCTTGTTGGGCTTCTAAGCACAATATTGGCTGTTTGAATTCTGCTATACTGGCGAGAAAGACAGGCAATTATTAGGTGAAAGATGAATAGTCTCCTAACAAGATACAGCCTTGAAAAATGCTACAGGGTCACCATAAGAATTTACTTGAATACAGTGGGTTTCATCTGGTGTTTTATTCATCCATATAAAACAAGAATTAAAATTCTCCCTAGAATTTTCAATGGCACCTCCATTCTCATGAGGAGCTTATAAAAATCAGTATGTGAAATCTTTGTTATTATAAAGTTCATGTTTATACTCACTGGTCTGTATGTAGTTTCATGAATATCTTGTAAACATTCAAGCCTTAGTTTGGACTTTGATATATACTTGCATGGTATTCACAGGATAACTAGTTGTGATTTCCAGTTGAGTGGTATTTTGATAGGTTGCGTGCGCAAGATATTTCCTTCAATAAGATTTACCTTGTTCTCATTCCTTGAGCCTTTATTTATTTATTTATTTTACATTTTATTATTTTGTGTGTGTGTACCGTCAAATTGGATCAGTTTGGTAAAGGTAGAGATTGTCCCTCCTTCTCCGGCAGAGCATCTGGTGGATTTGAACCACATGCCTCTGGGATTGCAGTACAGATTTTTGCCACTAGGCCACCAAAGCTAGGCTTAATTCCTTGAACCTAATGACATTGCTATAGGTCATCTACATAGCTGCTTTACCCTTTTTCCCTAGACTTAACTCAGCAAGTCTCTACTTGCGGATGATAAATGATGGATGCTAAATCAAGTTGCTCATTAGAGGAAGAAGACTCAAGAACAGATAACTAGAATTAAAACTACTTCTTTGTATGTGCCATTGAGTTGCCTGTGAGTCATAGTGGCCCTATGTACAATAGCTCTGAAGCCTGCTCTATATTCTGAGCCAGTCTCACTGACCCCAGCACACCTACCCTCATTACAGTTATAGAATTCCATCTCATCCAGTGTTCTAGAAATTGATATATAAAGAAACAATGTCTAGGATGTTCATTCTCTTAACCAAGATAGCCTGACAGCCTACTATGAATTTTAAGCCCTAGTGGAGAAATGTTAAGACTAGAAATAAATACATCTTTATGGTAGGCCTCATACCCCCAAAAACTTTGCTAGAGATAACTGTTGTTAAGTGTCCCTAGCCAACTCCCAACTCGTAGCAACTCAGAACCATTCTCACAGTCTCTCTCAATGCTCAAGCCCATTGTTATCACAATATCAGTAAATCTCATTGAGGGCCTTCCTTCCTCTAATTTCTTTAATATCTTTCTCCAGGGACTGGCCCCTCCTAACAACACAACAAAGTGTGTGAGATGAAGTCTTACCATCCTTACCTTTAAGGAGCACACTGGCTGCATTTCTTCCAACACAGGTCTGCATGTTCTTTTGGCAGGCTCTGATTTATTAAGTACTCTTAACTAACACCAAAATTCAAAGACATCAGTTATTCGGGTTTCCTTATTCATTATCCAACTTTCACATGCACATGGAAGCATTTGAAAAATACCATGGATAGATCAGATGCACCTTAATCTTAAAACTGACATTCTTG